TGGGGCCTATTCTCACTGGGTTTTTTTTAAATCCTTTTCCACTTGGTTTGCATTTTGCTGGAGCTGAACATGATGTTCCATCTGAGTCCTTAGCACAACAGCCAGAATCAAAATTATTTTGTGTTCTTTTCATACCTGCATTTCATCCAGGCAGGCTGATGACTTTTTTTTTTTTTTTTTTTTTCAGTGATATTTTTTTTTTATGTTGAGCATAAGCCCCAGATTCTTTAGCACTTTACCACTCAGCACATCTGTGGGCAGAACAGAATTCAAGCTTGCTTTCCATGTTATGTTGTACAGGTGATTATAATTACCTTTTTGCTCTGTTAAACAGTTTGTTACTTCAGTGACTGTGGATTCTGAGACCCTCCAGCCAAATCTTTGAAACTGTCTGAGATTGCTCTCTGTTAACATCCTGTTATTTTCCAATGTGTAGTCTGTGGACAGAATATCTGGGAGATATTGGAAATTGTTGCTTGTCACCATAAGAAATCCAAGTGAGGCAGAGCAAAATATGAAGTTACCTGCAGTAAGTTCATTGCTAAATAACTCTTCCCCTGGATGCTTTTTGTAACAGTGGAGAATGTGAAAAGATTAAAGCCATGTGAATGGGCTTGCTACCAATTTTCTCTCAGACTGAAATAATGATAGTTTATCTCTGGGTGTGGGTTTCTAATCATCTCTGAGTACTTCAGTATGTTCTGCTTTTGTTTAGATTATATGGCTGTCAGTTTAAGAGTGTCAAAAGTCCAGTTAAACCAAAACTATATTGTCTGTAGTTGCTGTTTTACTACCTATATTGTTACTGTGTCATTGGAGGAAATTATATTCCTTTGATACTGTTTGTTCCTAAGAAATTGTGTGTTGAATCTCATCTGTTCTGTTATCTGAAATATGCAGGAGATAGTTTTTTTTTTCTCAGATTATTTTGGCATTTTCCCAGGATCTGATGGTAAGCTTGATTCTGATCTGTGTTTTCCTGTGTACTTATTTCTTGCTCTTTAGAGGCAGGTGCTTTAGTCCTTCTTTAGGTTGTTGGAGCTTAATGCAGAGAACAGAGATGATCCAAAACTTCTTTTGTCCGTTTTCAAAGGGTAAATATTGTATTTACCAGATTTGAAAACCTTGAAGTACTCTTAATGCTGTAACCCTGGATATAGTCCACAGGTTTATGGACTACACGTCCATGGGTTTATGGAAGCTCATTAAGCTGTCTGCAGAAGCACATTGCCTTTATGGTGCTTTTTGTTTGAAGTGTGCCGATAAATCTGCATGGAAAATTCAGAGCCGTGGCTTTGCTGGCTTGAGAGGTTTGGAGCAGTTGCTGTAATGCATTTCCCAGTTCCAGCCTGGGCTCCTGCTCCTTCTGCTGTGCTATGAGTTACATTAGCCAGCTAATCCATCTTACTGAGTGGAGATTGATGCAGAAAATGCCCCAAGTGCTTTGGCATCATCTGTTAGAGATTTTCCCTCTCATTGGAGAGTGGGTTAATGCGCTCCTGCTTCAGTTGCTCTTGCTTGCATTGCAAGCATTCTGAAGGAATAGTTTCATTTTACATTCAGCGTTGCCTCTTGGTAGTTTCTTTCCTAAAGCTTTCCTATTCTGTCAACTGTGCTGTTCACTTAATGAAGTGACCTCCAGTGATGTGATTTCCACTAGTGCAAAATACCTTGAATTTAAAAATATTGAGGAGCCTTTA